AATTTTTGGTGTTATTTATTTTCAGGAAAGATATAGTTATATATGCCCTGACATTGCTAAAGAATTTGCAAAGTATGATCAAGAACCTGCAAAATGGATGAAGAAATATGATGGCATTAATGCCATAACTCAACAACCTTTTTCAGTTGATGTTGGATATGAAAGATTTTTGGGTCCTGAGATATTCTTCCACCCTGAGGTATTAATTACTAATACTTTAACGTTAATGAAAAACCTTTTTTTTCTCAACAAAGTTTTTAGAAAATGAAAATTATTACATTAGACTTTTGATATCCACTTCTAAGCTCTCTAATATGCATATTTTGCTTGTTACTTTAATCTTCAAACATGTGTAGTTGATCCAAACAATGGAACAAGTTTTAAATGAAAAATAACTTTGCTGTGCCCGGTTAAAATTTTCAGATGCTATTTCTTATAAATATAAAATAAAAAGTATTTCTTTAAAAGTCATATTAATATGCGTAAAAATTTTTTTAAACAAAATTGAAAAAATTTTAATTAACTTCTCTTAACAAATTTGAAGCAAAGAGTATTAATAGAGACATTAATAGATTTATTTATTTCCTTAAAAAAATCATTTATGCTTTTAATTTTTGAACTAAAAAATTATTTAAAGTCATAAGACTTCTGTCTTCTTTAATAAAATAAAATTGTATCAGGTTTTCATCTTTCTTTGTTGAAAAATTATATTATTTGACTGTTTCTCTGTTATTCAACAAATCTCTGAACTTAATTTACCTTAAACAGAACATGGAACATCTGAATGTTTTTGTTAAAAAAGAAAGAAAAAAAATCTTATGAATAGAATGTTAAGGGATTAGAAACTTTTAACCTCTACATTGTTGGAATTTTAATGTTATTATTTCAGTGTTTTTTTTTTTTTTTTTTTTTTTTTTTCAAAATACATTAAAAGTTAATTTCAAGAATAAGCTATAAAATTTTATTTGGCCTCAGATTTCTGATTGTTTACTTTTCTAAAGCAATTTGCCTCAAAACAATTCCTTTCATCATTCAGTCGATTTGCTATTCTGTTGCTTCAATCAACTTTTTCTCATGTTACATATAGATGTGCCTCTTTTCTTCAAATCTGTGAATCCCATTTTTTTAAGCCTGATTTCCACAGTAAATTAACATTTCTAAAATTACAGAAAATTCATATGTTAAACTGAGGGAGGGCCACAAATTTGTAAAAAAAAGTGATTTATGTAATAGAATCTACCTGGATTATTGATTCAAAATTTTTCAACTTTTGAATGATATTTTAACGATAAGAACTTAATCACATTTTCCTATATCCTGACATTTTACAAGGCTGAGTCGGAAGTCCTATAATTTATTTTACCATTAACAGAGATGATTGTGCTCCAGAAAAAATTTGAATTTCCTGATTTTTCACTAACCGCGATCCGGAAGTTTCTGAAAAACCAAGCTCCAGAAGTTTCAGGAAATCATTTATCACATTTATGTATAGAAATTCTTATTTAAAAATGTTAGAACTAGAATTTATACTTGGCATCTCTTTCATTTGTAAATATTTTTTCTGGTAGAATAATAAATGTGATTAGAGATAAAATTAAACTTATAAATAATTATTCATTTAGATTATGCTGCATATAATTTATTTAGAATTCCCTATTTTGAAAATATCAATGATTTAAATTTATAAAGACATTAATTTTTTGAAATATGTCAATATGTCTTTTTTTGAAATACGTTTTACTCAAGAAATATTCAGTATTTTTTAGTTGGGCTCACAATCACCCATGCATTAATTAAATTTTCATTTTTTGACAATGAAACCAAATCTTGTGTGTTGGAAATTGGTTGTTTCAAAATTTTTAATTTATCGCTTTTGAAAATTTATTTAAAATGATTTTAAACTTGTGAGCAGTTCAATCATCTCAGAACTGAGAGAATTCAGAAGTCATTATTTTCTTTTTAAGAATTTTTTTTTTAATTCAATCAACATTAGTGCGTTTTAATTGCAAATGTTAAGTTTTGATTTTAAAAAATTCAAAATTGTAGTTTTAAACAGACTGTAAAATCTGCACATTGTATCTTAGCAAGCGATGAGCATTTTGAGAATTAAGTATTGACATCTTGAAAGAAGCAGAAAATCATGTTCAGGTAACTTAACTAGTAGATCATCTTTTAAGGAGATCAAGGGGTTGTGTTATTGTTAAAATTTTCTACCATGAAGTGTTAGACTTTGTTTACAGACTGGTCATTTGGCTACCAAAGTAGAGAAGCCATACTTTTTGTATAGGATCAAAATTGTGATATGTCTTTAGGACAATAGCCCATTTTGCAACTCTAGTGAGACATAGAAAAAGGACAAGTAGGGGAGTGTCGGGTACCCCCGCCCATTGTCAATTTCATATGTATAGAATATTTTTTCACGTCAATGGGCCATCGGACATTAATTGTTATATTAAAAAAAGATCATTTTCAAAGTTTGAAGTATTTATGCAGCTGGTAGCATGGTAAACAATAGTTTTGAAAATATGTTGAATACAATCGTCATGAAATTAAGAGAAATTGGTTGAATGTTTCGATTAAACTTCATTTTAATACTAAAAAAATAATTTTTTCTATACATGCAGCATTAAAGTATGTAGTCTTAAGTTTAATTTGCACAAAGAAAGAAGTTTATATGTGAAAAATTGTTCGAGCTGAAAAACATGTTTTTTTAAAATTTATATTTTTATAAGTTAAACTATTCTTTTTTTGGTTTATTATTTTTGCATTATTTAATTAGATGATAAAACAATCGAAACATACAAAAATATTGATTATTACTCAATATTATACAGAAATATAAACAATACTCCTTAAGTGGGCGGGGCTACCCGACTCTCCCCTATATATGTACGTATATGTAAACGTGTGGTCTAAAATAAATAATATAGGATCCCTATATCATTTTTTTTTTTAAATTGAGATACTAACCAGTTGCAATCCTCAAATAATGAAATAACTTTCAATACCAAGAAGCTAATAAAAAATAATTAAATTAAAAAAACTTAAAGGTATAGCAAATAAAAAAAAAATTCAAAAAGTACGAATTATTTCGCCCAACTATTAAAAAGTTAGTTATTTAAACATCTTTCAATGCACATGAGACGCAACCAGTTTAAAAGTTGCTATGCCATTGTGCTCTGCAATTCTACACTCTTTCAATTATTACGTACTTTATTTAACTTATTATAAATACTGAACAGAGTTGATGGTGGNAATTTTTTTTTCTAGTTAAGGTAGTTAAAGTACAATTTTGTTAATTATTTATTTTGTTAATTATCGTGCCTTTTAATACAAAACTGTGAATTGAGTTTTTACATAATTACAAAAATATTAAGTTTCTTTTTACTAATAATTAACTTAAACAAATGGAAAATTGTTAACTTAAATCTAAAATATAAATAAAAAACATTAAATACATACGAAATACATCAACATAGTAACAAAAAAGATGAAAGAAAAAAAATTATTTAAAAAAAAACTGCAGCTTTTCTATTTTTGAACACATTACATTTTTATAAAATAAGCATTAGTATAGTTTTGTTCATAAAGCATTGCAGTTTGAACTTATTATAAAAACAACTGCTACGAACAAATATAGAATTTGATTTTTGAAATTTAAATTAAATAAGATCTGTGAAAAATAATCTCAACTGAAAAAATTAAATTTAAAAATAAATTACTATTTTAAACACAAAATTAAAAAGCTTAGTAAATAACTATTTAAAAAAAGGAAAAAGAATTCCTATATTTAGAATTCAAATGTGATTTATCTGTTTCCATCTCAAGCTCCTACTAATGAATATAAATAACGTAAAAAAATTTTAATTGCTCTTTTTTCTTTCTTTTAATCATTTTACAGTGGAAAAGAGATTAAAAATTTTTTATCTACTTCATAAAAATCAATTTTTACCCATATATATTTTTAAAAAAAATATTTTTTTTGGAGAGTTTCTAAATGATTCTTTTCAGTGTTTTATTTATTTTTTTAAAATTTTTATTATTGTTTTTAAAATTTGTATTTGTATGTATGTGAAATTTATTTTTTGAAAACAAACAAAATATCAAAATATTTTGAAAAAAAGAAAATGTTGGTGTTGGTTGATTTTGCGCCTTTTTCAAATAATGCGCCCATGGCTCTCGCCCCGCCTGCCATACCCTAGATACGCCACTGACTAGTAGATCAGCTTTTAAAGGGGCCGAGGGATTGCGATATCTGTTATTTTTAAAATTTTCTACCATGAAGTGTTAGACTTTGTTTACAGACAGGTCTTTGTTTACAAAGCAGGGAGGCCGTCCTTTTTGCATAGGATCAAAATTGTGATATGTCTTTCGGACAACAGTTCAATTTGCAGCTCTAGTAAGACATATGTGAAGGACAACTATATTTTTTTCCAAAACTGCTGTGCCATGTCTGTGTTTACCTAATAAATTGAAAGAATAAAAATCAAATCAGGAAATATGAAATTTGCATAGATAAATGAAAATCACTGTCAAATCCTTTTGGTTAACTGGGCAGACACAAGAGTAACTATTTTTTATTTTATTTATTTAATTTTTATTTTATTTCTTAATTTTTTGGTGACTTACTATTTTTGCCTACCTAACTGATAAGTAACATTTTATTCTTTATAATCTGAATTATTAAGTATTTGGTACAATTGGGAATATTCAATATCTTCAGTCTAGTTCTATAAGTAGATTATTTTTTCTTCAGAATTTTAACTGCTATTCTACTTTAAATTTGTAATTGCATTATTATGATACCTTCATGTTTCATATAATTATTTTGTTTAGTTCGCGAATCCAGACTTTATGGTGCCAATATCTGAAATAGTTGATACCTGCATTCAGAGTTGTCCTATTGATGTTAGGAGACCTCTGTATAAAGTAAATTATTTTTATTATTTGTTCATTTATATTTTTCTATTTTAAAAAAATTAATATTTCAGTCTTGATAGTTTTTTTTTTCTTTTTTGGTGTAAAATGTATTTTTTTAATGGTAATCTTAAAATGTTTAAACATTAATAATAAAAATATCCTCATGCTCACTAATAATAATGTATTTTCAATTTATTAATTGTAAAATCAGAGTAATATGTCATAATTTTTTCTGTTGAATTAGATTTAAACTTTTAATTAATTTTTTGTTATTATTTATTAAACATTTGTATTTATTGTATTTTATCAATAACATCTTTAACTTTATTATTCATTATACTGTGTTATTAGATTTTTTAAAACATGTTAAAGACAAAAATATCTATTATGCTCATTAAGTCATATGACTTTTGCAATACATAATTTGCTGTATGTTGCAGGTGAATGTTTTAAATTTATTTTATTGGCCATGTATACATTGCTGTCAACTCTACTAGAATTTTTAGATAACTACTGGATTTTGCCTGTTTCTCCTGGTCTGCTGGTTTTATAAAAGTTCTTCTAGTTTTTGTATATTTAAGAAAATTCCCTAAAATTGAGTTAGTTTCCTTAGATAATTCCTATTGAAATAGAATTTTTATGCACATTATTGCTTGCGTGAATATTTAAATACGTGTTGCTAATACATAATGAAGCAAGCCTCATTTTTATTAAATCAGTTAATTATCTTTGATGAATTAAATGGTATTAGTACATTTTGCAGCAATTATCATGAAATTTATATTATTTCGTAAAATATACTGGATTTCTTCCTATCCATATTGGCAGCTATGTACATAGTTGTTTATTTATAATATCGAAGTTGCATTTATTGCTTGAATTCCTCTAGTAGTATTGGTGGAGGTGAAGATTAAACTGTATTTGAATTTGTGTCTATTGTTTTCTAGAACATAGTTTTATCTGGAGGATCAACCATGTTTCGGGATTTTGGCAGAAGGTTACAAAGGGACATCAAAAGAGTTGTTGATGCGCGATTGAAACTTAGCGAAACACTCAGTGGTGGAAGAATTAAAGTAAGAGTTTGGCTATTATATTTAAATTTAAGAACATTTTAAAAATGCTTATACAATAAATAGTAGTAGCTTTGAAGAAAAAAACTAGTCACATCAATTGTATTTGAATAAGTTTAAGTCGTGGCAGACTGGCAGGTCTTGAACTGAATCATGGATCCATAAAATTGATTTCAATAATGAAGTCTGCATTACCATGACTTTTTGAAATGCTGTTCTAATGTCCTTTATGCATTTTTCAGCGTTCATTAGTTTTAATTATTCTCCGAATTGAAATTGCTTTCCACTCTATTAAAAGCATATAGCAGGGGTGGTGAACCTTTATGCACCAACGTGCCATTTTTTCTAAAAAATTGTTTAATTTGGTCATAGATGTGCCGTCAAACAATTTTGACTTCGTGATTATTATGAAAATAATAGCACTAATTACTATCAGCTCAAAACTCTTTATTTACTATGAAAAAGAATGTCTCAGTTATATGCATAATTCACCTTAAATTAACATCAGTGTGACTTCTGTTGTTGCAGATTAGATGACAAATAACTTATTTTAGGTTGTAAGATGTTATTTTAATCAGGTTTGTTAATTTGTTTTTGCTAGTTATTTATTGTTAGCTTGTTTTTTATGGTAATTAATTGTTTTTTGGCATTAATTGTAATTTTTTGTTAATAATTGTTTATTTTTTTATGTTTGTTTTTGTGAATTTTAATTTAATTGGTAAATTGCTTCACAGTGAACTTCGTGATATTACTTGGGCATGTGATATTACATGTCCAAAATATTATGTGGCGTGCCATAAATGGCACGCGTGCCATTGGTTCGCCATCCCTGGCATATAGTGTGTAAGATCTAACTGCAACTACTTTTGTTATTTTTCTGCTTCACACATTTTTTTTCACAATAGTGACTGATGTTTGTTGTATTGCAGGTTTTAAGCTTGCATAGTAAAAAATAGAACATTGAAATCTCAATTTGTACTTTCGTTTTTGTGTTAAGTTGGGACCTATTTTTATTATCATACATGTATTAGTTGTAACCTACAAAACTGGATATCAAGGTTGTATATAAAGTTTAAACATTAAAAATAGTACTGGCATTTCACTATATGGGATTCGTTCCTTTCTAAAATTCTATTTTCAAAATAAAATATGCACAGAATAAATTTTTCCATTATATTGCTGTTCTTGTCCATTATATTGCTGTTCTACAATATTTATTAAAAACCAAATTTAAATTTTGTTGGTATATTAGAAAAGTATTCAATTTACATATTTAAAAAATGATTAAATTGTGTTGTAATAAGCTAATTTGTTTAACAGATATAAATATATTTTAATGCATTGCCTCATAATAAAAGGGAGAAAAAAAAATAGTTTTCTGTAGATAAATTTAATTAATGTGAATCGAATCAAATTCTTCTCAAAGAGTTTATGCTAGAAAGTTGTAGAGTTAAAATTATTCTGCTTTAATATTTGTATAAAATAGTATTATTAAATACTCAGTTGGCCAAGTAAAAGTATATTTTGGAGGGTAGAAATATGTTTGCTTTCATTATCCACAAAATTGGATATCACAGAAAACAATCCTTTTAAACAAAATCCATCAGTAAAATAGCTTTGAAGCATCATTTTTATCCATTTTTAAAATTCTTTTAAAATTTTCTGTAACTATGTGCTTAAAGGTATTTTGTCTTTGCAAAGAAAAAAGAAGCTAACTTAAAAAATGTGAAATAAAAGGATAAAGGCTGTATAATATGTAATTAAATCTTTTGATTATAATTTCTCACAGCAATAACTTATAGGGGAAAATCTCATTTGTAGAATAATTAGCATTCACTGTATTATTTATAATTTAAAATTTTTTTTTATTGCCTTTAGTTATTATAAATATATTTAATTTTTTTGATGTTTTTTCACTTATTTCAGCCCAAACCAATTGAAGTTCAGGTTATATCTCATCACATGCAACGATATGCTGTCTGGTTTGGTGGTAGTTTATTGGGCTCAACTGTAAGTTTAATAGATTTTGATATGTTATTTTTTTTTCTTCATATTTTTGCTTCTAATGTAATTAAACCAAATTAAGCAAAGTTTTTAATGTTTAAATCATACTATCACTCATATTCATATCACTCTTATTATATGATCATTATGCTAAATTGAAAATTGAATATCCCCTAAAGCATAGCTGCAGTAACATGATTGTAATCACAGGGTTTTGGGTAGAACACTGAAGTCGAATATGGTTTTATAGCTGTGAGTGAGTGGTGGGTGATCGCTTTTTGCAAAGGTGCTGAGGCTGCACAGTATCAGTCCTCTTTGAAATATTCTACTGACTCATGCAAAACTTTGTGCTCATATTGTCCGGTTATCAAAGCGTGGGAGCGATCTCCTCTGCAGAAGACCAAAATTGTGATGGCATGTTTTCGGATGACTCTCAAGGATGTTTCCCAGACTGTAGCCAATCGCTCAATGTGCAGTTGTGGTTGACGAAGGTACTACTTCATGCTCAGGAGCAGAATTATATCTAATGTTATGCAACAAAATTCGTAATAATCAAACACCTTTTAATAATCAAATAACTATTTAAATTCTATATTTTAAATGGTTGATGATTTTATTTTGCAAAACCCTTTCACTTTCTTCATTTTTCACTGCTTTTGCAATAGGATACGATGTGACTGATCTTAAAATTACTATTTGCAATTCTCTTAGCTATTAAGCTTTATTTTATTTTTACATTTTTTTATTTATTTACTTTTTTTTCAAGGTTTTTAATTGAACATCAACCATCTTGAAGATGGTCCTCTCTTTTTTTTTTTCTTTCTATATTTTTTCAAAGCACTGAAAATAACTTTAAATGATAGATTGAAGTTTTTATACCTTATATATTTGATGCATTTATTGATTATATGAATCTGATAAACGGTTTTCATGGGTCAGGAAATTTTATTTTGACTAAAAAGCAGGAAATAGTCTTAAGAAATTTTTATTTTTGCAAAAATCTGGAAAATTCCTACATTAGGCCTGGGAAACAATTATTTGTTGTAAACATTTCATATTTTCATACCTGCCAACTTTTAATTCCTTCAATTATGATTTTTCCCAGTGGTATTAAAACGGAATTAAAATTTCAATTTTAAGCAACGAAATACATTGTAATTGAAAAAACTTGAGCTGAAATAATTGGGAGTAACGCATAATAATATATATGCGTAAGTTTTTTTGAAAATAGTGGTGATCAAAATCATTTAAAAATTAAGTTTATAAAAGAAAAATTTTATATATTTACTACCACTTTAAATATAAAAAAAAAATTTACGCCAAATGCGTAAAAGTTGGCAGGTATGTATTTTAGGGAAACTTTACCATGTTTCCGTCCTTGTTCAATGATATTTTTTGCTCACGATATTTGATATAACAAATATAAAAAAATCAAAGCTTTCTGTTAAAAAATTGCGTGGTATAGATGAAATATGGTCTGGATTTCCATTGCAATTTTCCTGAAATTGCTGGAAAAGTCAGGGATTTTTTTTACTTTTGAAATTAAATGGAAACAGGCATATTATTTTGCAGAAAGGATGACTCTTTTCAGAAGCAATTATTCAGGAGATATATATATACAGTCAAACCTCGATGTCTCGAACTTGATGGGAGAGGAGAAAATATTCGAGATACCGAAAATTCGAATTATCGAGAATCGCATGTTATCGATGGTAGAAAAACGAAAAATGCTCTTTACATGCCTTTTTTACTATTCCATATTTATTCTAAAAACTGTTTTTACACTTTCATTTAAAAAAGATTCAATTGTTGTTTGCTTTAGAGGTGTGTTAGAAAGTTTGTCTATACCACTTTCTAAGTGGACCATAGCTTTAAATGTATCCTCTGACATATTCGGCTGCCACTCAATAAATCTCCTTACAGTGTCCAGTGCAGAAAGAGCTTGTTTGTTAGCAACATTGGGCGGTAAATCTTCAATTTCCTCATCCTCTTCTTTTTTCTTTTAGTTCACAGGAAGCTTTCGTTTGAGCGATAATATCATTGTCATCACACTGACCACACACTATTACTGCATCATATACGTTTACAAAGTCATGAAATTCCATGTCATCAAGTTTCATGAGTCCGGTCAATCTCTCCCAATCATTTTCAGTGTAGTTTTCAGCAGAATTAACGATATTGATTGTTTGACTACTTTCGTGATCTTTAATGCATCTTCTTGAAGCCATTCATTATCGTAGAGGAAGACGCATCATTCCATGCCACTGACGTCTTTATGTCCATTTTTTTTTTTTTTTTTAAAGTTTATTATTATGTGAATTGGTTTTCGATTCTTACATTTTTTTATTTTTTTTTGGAATATTTATTTATTTCCAGAAAAAAAATCTACACTATTTAAGGGAAAAAAATTCAAGTTATCAAGTTTTTTTGAAGTTATAAGTTAGGAAATTTGAAGGGAATTTTTTTCTTCCTTCGAGATATCGAAAAATTCGTGAAATCGAGGTTCGTGTTAGCGAGGTTCTACTGTATATATATTCCCTGATTAAATGCTTTTAAAGAATGAAACAACCAAAAAAAAGTTAGTTAGTTTTTACACATTTGTTACGATTGGTCCAGGTTAGTGAGATATGGACAAAATAGGGGGAAAATGCTGAAATGTCTAACTGTAATTTGTTACTTTTTTATGCTAATTGTGAATTGATTGTACTGAGTTTGGATTGTTAAATATTATTCTTTGTTTATTTTATTATTGTTTGTATTCGTATTAATTGCTCGTTTCCTCAGCCTGAGTTCTACCAAGTTTGTCCTACCAAAGCAGCCTATGAAGAGTACGGGCCTAGCATTTGTAGACATAATCCAGTATTCGGTGCAATGACATGAGCTTAGAATAGAACTATGAGCAAAAAAGAAGAGCCATACCATCTGAAAAAAAAAAGAAATTGTAATATATTGAAAAATTTATATATATATAACTTTTAACATTGCTTAAGAGATTACAGTTAGCTTCCAGTTTGAACTGTGATGAGTTTGGGATGATGGAACAAATTTATCCTACAATTTCCAATCAACAACCATTGCTCATGAATATTTAATAAATCAGTGGTATATATATTAATTTATGTCCTTGTTTTGTTTTTTTTTTTACTAAAAATTTTCATTTCTTTTTTATATATATTAATAGAAAATAATACTGTGTTGTTGACTTATCAAAAATCATCTAGTGATCATGATTTGTAATTATTTTGCACTTGTAATTTTTATAGATACACCATATGATGTTATCAGAATAAAACTGTTTTCTTTATTGTTTAGATGTCACCATTTATTAGTGTGTTTTCTGTATTTTATTTATTACTTTTTTAATTTATATTGATAATGAACTAGTCACTATCTTTGCGTCAGCTGGCATGTAAAGCCTTATGGTTCTTTTTCCAGGCACCCCTATCCTCAGACAGTCCTCTTGCATCCTCCCATCCATTTAATTTTACTTTGCCCAGTAAATCTTGGTCTTCCTCTTTTACATTTTCCATCAGGTGCCCGAGTAAGTACGATGTCAGCAGGACTATCCCATTATAAACGAAGGGTATGTCCAGTCCATCAAATTTTGAGAAGAGTATTCATTAATTTAAATTACATTTCTCATATGTTCTGTAACCTTCGATTTATCAATTTTATTAAGGTCAAGAAAAAAGCTCAATATATTGATCCTTGTAAAATAATGAAAATAAGCATGGAAGTATATTTTAACAACTTTATTTATAAAGACAATTACACTTATTACCATAGTTCTAGTTACTCGCTTTTTTTTTATTTTTGTGGTTGAAATCTTGTAATATAAATTTTGCCTAGCTTCTAATTTTCTAGAGCACTCAAATCTGTACTGAAACTTGATAATAACGCAAATAACTATCATTTCATGGCTACTGCAAACAGAATTTACTACCAAAAGAAAATTTATCCCAATTACGACCGCTTTCTGGTTGACTACAGATCTCAAATCTTCTGCAGAGTCTAATGATAATGCAAGTTACAATTGTTTCTTGACCACTACAAAAACAATTGTTTAATCGAATTTACTCATAACATTGTCAGATTCTAATATTGTCCAATTCTTGTTTAAAATTTTGTGTTCTATTTATTGATTTCTATGCATGTGTAATTTACATGATAAAATTTACATGTTAAGCTTTTGCCTAATGAGATCTTATTTCTTAAACACAAAAATTCGGCATGCTTTTTATAAAAAAAAAATCAAAAAATGACTTTAGTTACTTATTGAACCAGAATTGATGTTTTTCTACTGAAATATTGGGCAAAAATATGGTTTGGAAATATGTTGACATTTTCCTGGTAAAGGCAGGAAAATTTATTTCAGAAATCGAGTAGGCATCCTGATAAAAATTTTATACGAGATTGTTTAAACATTTCAAAATACTACACTTATATGTCTTGCTCTCACTAATGTAATTTTCCAAAAAGTATGACCTTATCATTATGATCTTAATCATTTTTTTCTACTTTAATGATTTAAATCTATTATTTAGTGATCATAATTTTAAGCATAAGGATTTTAATTTTTTTCTAGTGACTTGAATCAAACCCTTGACTTCCGGGTAACAGAAGTAAAAATATAGCTTTGTATGGAAATGAAGAAAGGGTACAATTTGTTCTATAAATGAGAAAAAATTCAAACTACTTTTTTTTTTGGATTTTATATTTTAGTAAAAATATAATTCCGATCAATTTGACAGATTATTTTAGTAACTGTAAGACTACTTTTTTAAATTAAATACCGAAGTATATTTTTACTTGTAATTAGAGCATCTATTCCCATCTGCTTCAGAGGGTTAACATGAGGTGGGAAAAACTGTTATTTTAAAAGAAGAGAAAAAATATTTTGGCTACATCTCTTCACACCCTAATTTTTTTTTTTTTTTGCTCCATGCCTATATCAGTATTACTTTGACATTTCTATTCCAAATGCCCATTTAAGAAAAAGCACTATTGAGAAGTTTTTTCACTATGCTAACTAATAATAGTTTTCTGAACTGTTGTCTGAAGGTTTTTTATTTTATTAGCAATTTTTTTATTAATGGAACGAATTTTTTTGAACGTACTTAGCTCAATGTATCGTTAGTGTGTGGGTAAATAGCGACATTATACAATTTAGACTCCTGACTATTGAAGCAATTGGGTAAAAAAAATTAAGGAAGTATTGTGTTTAATGTTTCTATGTATTTTCAAAATTAAGTTTTACAGTGTGGGCTACATAGACATTCCACGTAATTTATTATATTAAGTTCAAATATGATACAAAACATGAAGAATTAAGTAAAAATAAATTTTGATTAATTAATACGTAAATTAAGAATTCTTTTTGCTAAAACCCCTGTCTGTAACAATAGCGAGATCAAGAGAAAACAGTTTATGTTCAAAATTTATTTTTTTAAAGGGAAGGACAGAAACTAATTTTTTACTCCGAATTCTTTGCTCCGAATTCTTTGCTGATATTCGGAGCATTTAATTTTTGAAGTTTTTGTTTTACTTATTTATAATACTAATTTCAGTTTTTAATTCTTGCAGATTTTTTTTATTTAATTTCGAAAGTTAATTTTTTTTTTCAATTTTAAAAGTCTACTTTTCCACAGGAAAAAAAAAAACACGTGAAAATGTGAGCCATAACGAAGAAAAATTTAATTAATCGAAACCGATACAGTGCATTTCTTGAGAAAAGGTACTTTAAATAATGAGTGCATTTTAAATCCGATTTTCTCTTTAATTGAACATATACCTCATCCAAGCACCTAGCTCCGTTTTTCAGGGCACTATCTTTTAACGCTTATGGTAGAAATGGCATGTAATTTTTTCCCATGTCAGACAACGTGGACAGTGCTGATCTGGTCTCCAAAACAAAAGGGAGGGCTTTCAGCCAAGATAAATTGAAGATGGTTTTGCGAAGCTCTTTCACCAGGGAAAATAAGAAAAGCCACAGTTTAAGTGCCTTACACTTGAAGCAAAACTATAATTTTTAACTTTATATACCATTTTACCATGAAGAATTATCTAGGCATTAGATCGGACAAATAATTTAAGTATTTTAAAATTCGCCTATATTGAAAAAGTAGCCCACGAAAGCTTTTCATGTTCACAAAACTGTGGCTTTCTTCCATGTTGACGTTTTGCGCCATTTTCAGATAAACATAGAGGACGCTGGCTATCCAAGGGCGCCAGCAGCGGGGTGCACTTGCACCCCCCCTGGCTTTTTTTAAACAATTGAAAAGATACAGAAAAATTTTGTTATAAAAAATTTTTATTAAACATATTTTTATGGAAAAACAAATAATTAAGTAATTATTGATNTAGATAAAACAACAAAATAAATTATTTCAAAAGGAACTAGACTAATACAATTCCAACCTGCCAAGTAGCGACTTATAACAGCACACTTCATTTAATGTTTACTTGTTGCTAGAAATCGGGTTCGCAGAAAATGCTGTTTACTAGTTAAATTTAGTAGGAATAACACGACCTGTGACGTAGGCTATAGTATACTCAATTGAATATACATCATCCAAGCACCTAGCTCCGTTTTTCAGGGCACTATCTTTTAACGGTTATGGTAGAAATGCCATGTAAATTTCCCCCTCGGTCAGACAACGTGGACAGTACCTGAGCTCGTCTCCAAACTTCCACACCAAGACTAAAGAGAGGGCAATTATGGTTTTTCGAAGCTCTTTCACCAAGGAAAATAAGAAAAGCCACAGTTCAAGTGCCTTACACTTGTGATACAGAACTATAATTTTTAACTTTATATACCATCTTGCCATGAAGAATTATATAGGTATTAGATCGGACAAATAATTTAAGTATTTTAAGAGTTATTTTAAAATTCGCCAATATTGAAAAATTAGCCCACGAAAGCTTTTCATTTTCACAAAACTGTGGCTTTCTTCCATGTTGACGTTTTGCGCCATTTTCAGATAAACATAGAGGACGCTGGCTATCAATGGGCTAAATTTGACCTAGCAGTTACGAGAGCAAACTAAATTTATGAAAACAGTATATTATTCGAAAAAAAGCGTAATTTCATATGATGACGAGCCTTTGGTAAACAATCTTTAACTGGCACCGTGCTGAGTATACACGCCGATTGTTTTACCAGCGACTAGGATCGAACTCATTATCTCCAACTGTCCACCAGTGGAATGGAAATTTCCGCAATTAAGAATCCAAACGTCTTTTATTATTAAAAAAATAATATTTCTCAATTTTCATCATCACAAGTAATTAGCAAACCCTCTGAGAAATTTTTTTAAAAGTGTACCCTAATATATGTACATTGAATCATAATATGGTAGAAGTCTTCTGAAACCTTAACAACGTGTTGAAGTTGAACTATGTTCAAATTGAACCATAGTATTGTGCAATCAAGTTTTAGAAGCGTGATTGTAATATAGCTCAATTTAGCACCATATTAAAGTTACTATAAGTTTGAAGGACATTATGTTCAATAAACTTCTAACAGTATAAGTTTCACCTCATTACTAAATCAAAAGAGAAAATCTCGCAAAAAAGAACAAACGTAATGTCATTATTTGCAGTTTCTCAAACATTCTTTTTGTCATGATTTTTTTTACATGCATCGGAAGAAATTTTTTACCGCTACACTTGTTATACTTGAAAGACGAGATCTCGATTTATTGCACGCAATTTTTTGATGTTGAAAATTAATTGGATGTTATGATTAAGAAAAAGAGGGGAGGGAATCCTGCTGTTAGCTCTTATTCCAATTGTAATTAAAACCTTACGAGAAAAATGACATTCTTTTTCTTTTCTAATCTTTACAAAATATTTCTTTGAAGATCTCTTAATGTAAGAAATGTGCTCCTCCCGAGTTTCACGACAGCAAAACTTCTTTTGTAGGTTGCAATTACTAATTACTAAATCGCGTGACTTTTTTTTTTAAGCTATTATTCTAAATGGGAAAATATATGCAAAAGAATTGAGTTTCATGTTTGGTGGCCTCTATGCATTACGTTCAATTACGAAGATAACATTCGAAATGTGTCTCCGACTTGATACGGTATTTTGTAAATAATAACTCTTTTTTTTAACTTTAAATATGATGCAACAAGTTATTATTACACGGACCGTAGGTATCGTATGAATTTAAATTTTATAGTAATCAGTCTAAAAAATAATTTAATAAAGTATTTTATTTCTTCAAAAATTGGTTGGCGGGCGGGCAATCACAATAAAAAAGAGACTATGGAAATTGAATTTTGCAATCAGTACATGTAGTTGATACCGG